TTTCCCTAAGCAGGAAGAGCAGATCATCCTCTTTTGGGACACTATCCAGGCCTTCAAGACGCAGCTGGAGCGCACGGCGCATCTCCCGGAATACGTCTTCTATGACGGCCCTCCTTTTGCCACTGGACTACCCCACTATGGCCACATTCTGGCTGGCACCATCAAGGACGTTGTCACCCGTTACCAGTCCATGAAAGGCCACCATGTCACGCGCCGATTCGGCTGGGACTGCCATGGGCTCCCCGTCGAGTATGAGATCGACAAAAAGCTCGGTATTAAGAGCCGCGACGACGTGCTGACCATGGGGATCGATCGCTACAATGAGGAGTGCCGCAGCATCGTCACCACGTATGTCAAGGAATGGGAGGAGGTCGTCACAAGGACTGGAAGATGGATTGATTTCAAGAAAGATTACAAGACGATGGACCCACAATTCATGGAGGTTATTTGGTGGGTCTTTGCGCAGCTGTATGACAAGGGTCTCATCTATCGTGGTTTCAAGGTTTGTTCATCTACGAAAAATATTGCGTTTTTAGTTCCTCTTCGGGTTTTATCGGATGTAAAATATTACACTTGTGCTTGACGTGCCTTCCAGGTCATGCCTTACAGTACGGGTTGCAAGACACCTCTTTCGAATTTTGAAACCGGGCTGAATTATAAGGTTTGAAGATTTCAAGTTGCAGTCTTTCCTCACAAATTCTGCTTTCCTTTTGTTGTGATTTTTGCTTGTTATGTAGAATGTGGCAGATCCCGCAATTATGGTGTCATTTCCCATCATAGGTGATCCAGACAACACTGCTCTAGTGGCATGGACGACGACACCGTGGACGCTTCCAAGCAACCTTGCTCTATGTGTCAATGCCAATCTCGTGTATGTTAAGGTAAGGTATATATGTGATTCAACAAACAAGTTTAATTTGAAGGGATGGGTAACAGTTTTTGAAGTGGTCTTTATTGTGTTTAATTGGTGCACATCATGTCGTTTTTAATATTAGAGATGACCACAGTGCATGTTAGAACTTTTTTT